TCGAATGCTCCACTGATTATGCGGACGGCTAAGAGACCGTGATAATTGGTGAGCGCTGCGTGACATGCGGTCGCGATACCCCACCCCACAAGACAGATGGCGAGCCACCTGGCAACAGGGAATCTGTTCAAGATCCAGATATTAGGAAGTCCTGCGATGAGGTTTGCTATCCAGAACGCCGCAGAGGCATTTGAATAGTCGTTGCCGATGAGACGGATGGCTGTGGCCATTCCCATTACTTGAGCATACTGAACGACCTGTTAGCTGGGCTTCCCACATCTTAGAGGTATGACTGACATTCAACAGGACTTTGTCAAGGAAGTTCACTGTGTAGCAAAGACACAGAAAAGGCATGACGCGCATGTCAATCCGTCTGCGCAAAGACCGAGTAAACCCTTCATTTTGGGAGAGATTGATACCCGTCTCGTCCTTATGACTCTCTAGGAATATAAGAGCATTGTCTTTCGTATCACGATTTGGCATGGCGTTTGTGTGAATGGTAGGCCTGCTCGGACCCGGCGGGCTTCCCACCCTCTTCTCTGCCATTGCAAAGGCAGATTAATGATGAACAACGCACAGATGAGGAATTCACATGTAGGAAGAGGGAGATCTTGGATTAGAGGGACGCCGAGGACATGCGACTCGATAGAACAAGTACATGTATCTAACCCTGACAACCAGCGGGGTGACACAGAGCTCAGCGTTGCGTTCAGCTTTGCGAGAAGGATTGATAGCAGCTTTGTGATCGACATTGCATCTGCAGCCGCCTTGAATGCTGTTATCCGGGTTTTCTTAGCCATTGGTGCAAGGCCGCACCAACTGAGGGGTCTCTATAGACTACACTATATGATTGTGCGAATGGCTGCCTCCAACCTGGGGTTGGCCTGCAAGCTTGCTGGGGATCAGCGTCCTGCGTGGTGGTTTTATTATCACACGTGAGGACTCTTCGATCGCCATTGGATCGCGGATAGTATATCTATTGGAAATTTGCGACTACGCGTCTTTGCAGAGACTTAGATTAGCACAGCTCTTTTCATTCTTGACCTGAATCTTGTTGCGTTCTGGTTGGTCGTTTTGTTCGTTTCTGCGAACTGGACCTTCGATGTCAGCCCGTAGAGTCGAACCGCAGCAGTCCCAGTTCATGAAACATAGAACATACTTGATGAAATGGCAGATCTGGCCGAACAGTTAAAATGGGTGAACGATGCCGCACAAAGTGAGGCGAAAGGTGTCCCTGGAGCTCACCTCGATCTTCTCGAAGCCATACAAGCGCTGTCTAATGCCGTCACGACGCCGGCTGAGAAACTGCTGCGCATTCGCTTCCAGCCCTATTTAAATGTCTGTATCCGAATAGGGCAAGAGCTTGGGATTCTACAGGTGCTTGCTGCCAGAGGACCCAAAACAACAGCGGCAGAAATCAGCGCACAAATCAAAGTGGACGGGCTGCTCATTGGTGAGAATATCTCACCTTGTAAGGTGTGCAGGCTCCTGATGATACCAGTCCGTGTGATGAGGCCGATCACACTCGCAGGAATCGCCGACGAAGTTGGAGTGGCAGAGTATGCACCAAATGAGACAACCTCTTACGCCATTCAAAAGGGCATCATTGGCGACGTCAAGTTCTAGTCCGTCAACCCATAGCAGCTTCCGTACCAACCCCAGGCAGATGAGATCGCTGACACTCCGACAGCACCGACATAGTCCTGAAGACGTGCAGCAGCGTAGGTCCCATGATGCGCGACAACGAATTCCACCAATTCCCCACAGCTGATCAGATAACCCCGGTGTCCTACACACTCGGAAAACCTCTCTTCCCTTTCTTGTCAGAGAATCCAGAGTATGGCACAGCTTTCAACAACTTCATGGCTGCTCGTCGCCAGGCTACGTGGCACAAGTGGTACAACGTCTATCCCGCGGCTGAAAGACTTCCTCTACAGCGCCTCAAGACGGAGAAGGACGCCGTGCTGCTCGTCGATGTAGGCGGCGGAACGGGCTACTGGACACAAGCTTTTAGCGAGCACTTTCAGGGTTCCCTCCCCGGACGCTTGATAGTACAAGATCTACCCAAAGTCGTCCATGGTATCAGCATACAAGGCATCGAGCACATGAGCTATGACTTCTTCACCCCTCAACCAGTCAAAGGGGCCAGAGCGTATTATTTCAAGGCCGTGATGCATGACTTCAACGATGAAGTTGCGGAGAAGATATTGGGAAATACAGTCGCGGCCATGGAGAAGGGATACTCGACGCTGCTCATTGAAGATTTCGTACTTCCGGAGAAGGGTGTCGGGTGGAGGGCTGCACACCTTGTAAGATGCATTGAGTCTGTCCTATTCGAACTGATGAATAACAATGTCAACAGGATATCGCCATGATGGTGCTTAACACTGGTATCGAAAGGACTGAGAAGCAGTGGAAAAACTTGCTCGAATCTGTTGGTGTGAAGATCGTCAAGATTTGGTCCGTTGGCGACATCTCCGAAGGAAACGAGGCTGTCATTGAGTGTGAAAAGGTGTAGAAGGAGATTATCACTGCCGGAACAACTGATGTGCCCCCGCACAGTCCCTGTGTGATCTAAACCCATGGAGTGAGAGTGAGCTTGAACGAAGCTAGCACTTCACTTGCTAAGACCATACCCTAAGGCCGAACGCTTTATGGAAGACCGTTTACACTATCTCCAAAGGGAATATCGTCGCAATGTAAACGCAGGACTTGCTTTACTCACATGCACAACGGTCGCTAAACCGAGCAGTACGATGTGGAGGGAGCGGGGTACGAGCGCGGAGTGTTTGCGGGGCAGCGAAACGGCATTCGCTTCCGCGTCGTTATATAGTGAGCGGAGCGCTATAAGATTGCCGGCATACGAGGCGGTAAATGAGATATTGAAATAATACAAACCTCTCATATCCGCTGGCCTACAACGTTGGTAACAGTGCAAATCAGGTGCATAGCCATTCAGGAAACTGATTGTCGTCTCCATCCGAAGAGCAAGGTCCCGTCCTGTGCAACGTGCCGGGTCCCGTAACTGGCCGCCATGCCAGAGCAACTCCCAAGCATCGATGAGTCGATACCGGAACACAAGGAGCTCTTCTACAATGGAAGCTGGCATCAAGCAAAGTCGAATGAGCTCAAAGAAACCATCAACCCAGGCAATGGACAGGTCATTGACAAAATCAGTCAAGCGGGCAGCGCAGATGTCGATGCAGCAGTGCAAGCCGCACAGAAAGCCTTCGTCAGCTGGCGTAAAACCCCACCTGCGCAGAGAGCATCATGTTTGCGTGAAGCAGCGAACCTCATGCGTAAGCATGCGAAAGAGCTCGCCTTACTGGATGCTCTGAATACCGGTAACCCAGTTGCGGAGATGTTGAGCGATGCGAATGTTGCAGCTGCCAGCCTCGATTACTTCGCTGGACTGATACCAATGTTGAAGGGTGAGACCATACCGATCTCTGACCAAACCTTTCATTACACCCTTCGAGAGCCACTGGGAGTTGTCGCCCGCATCGTCGCTTTCAACCATCCGGTCATGTTCGCAGGCGCGAAGATGGGCGCACCTCTTGCAGCTGGGAATACTGTGATCATCAAACCACCAGACCAGGCTCCACTGTCGTGTCTTCGACTAGCAGAAATCCTTAGCGAAGTGTTCCCGCCTGGAGTCCTGAGCATTCTTCCTGGAGGTGTTGAATGCGGAAAGGCTCTATCAACGCATCCACTGGTGAAGAAGGTCACGCTAATTGGAAGCGTACCGACTGGCAAGGCGATCCAGCGTGCAGCGGCAGACTCCTTGAAGCCGACTCTTCTGGAGCTTGGAGGAAAGAATGCACTAATAGCATTCCCGGATGCAGATGTGAATAAGCTTGTGGAAGGAGTCGCCCGTGGGATGAACTTCACGTGGGCCGGACAGTCTTGCGGGTCCACCTCGAGAGTGTTCCTTCATGAGTCTCTTCATGACACCGTGCTTGAGAAGGTGGTGGAGTACGTCAAGAAGACATACAAGCCCGGAAATCCTACGGAGATGTCGACAACCATGGGACCGGTCATCAGCAAAGAAGCGCATAAGCGTGTCCTCTCATTCATCGACTCTGCAAATCAAGAAGGGGCACGCCTAGTCACGGGTGGCAAGCCTCCTGCGGAGAATGAGGATATCAAGGGCGGTTTCTTCATCGAGCCAACCATATTTGCGGACGTCAAACCGGAAATGCGTATTGCAAGAGAGGAGATATTCGGTCCTGTCATGTCAGTGTTCAAATGGACCGATGAAGAGGATCTCATCCGGACGGTCAACGACACCCCGTACGGTCTGACTGCCTCTATCTATACCAAAGATGTGGCAACGGCGCATGAGACCGCCAAGAAAGTCGAAGCAGGCTTTATATGGATCAACCAAGTAGGAAGACATTTCTTGAATGTGCCGTTTGGGGGTGTCAAGGAGTCTGGGCTTGGCCGTGAGGAGTGCCTGGACGAGTTGCTCTCGTTCACTCAAACGAAGAGCGTGAGCTTGAGCCTTGCTAAGTAGAGATAATATCGTAAGCCAGATGCTTTATTACTGAGAATGTGTGAGAGACAGGTGCGTACCTAGGTAAGGACGAGAGCGCGTCTGGTCTTCGCGTCGAGTCCGTGATGAAGCCGGCCAGCAATCGCGACCTGGGATGATTTTGCAAGCGAGCTTGTGTGGAATACCAGGGCTGGCTCCCAAAGTTAGCATAACTTACTGGGCTTTGCGGTCTGCAGGAGCCCTTTACACAATATTCTTATAGCCTGGATGGGCTACGTACGAAAGGATAAGAGCGCGGTGTGGAGACATTCGCAGCAAGCAAACATACATGCGATATCTCTGAAAATCTACGCCCTAAGGGTTGCAATCTAATTTTTAATCGGAAGTCGGAGCTACTGTTAATGATATAGAAATGAATGGGATTCTGGGAGCATCTATATCGTGTTCTAATAACGCTTTAAGAGCCCTAGAGTAGTAAAACGCGAGCAAAAAACGAAAAAAGATATACAGCTGCCCGGGCTCGAACCGGGGACCCTGTGCGTCTTAATGACGTCATTTGTTAAGCACATGTCATGACCAACTAGACCACAGCTGCTAATTGATATTGATAGTATCGTTTTAGAAAATTCATAGCAAAAGAAACGCGGGCAAAAACGGCCCCAGGACCTTTATAAAACGCCCACAACGTTCTCCTCGGCATGGACTATAGCTACTGATTTGATGTTTATTATGGGTTTAATACGATACACTTTCTTCTAGACGGCGATAACAAGCAAGGTTAAGCGGTAACGTATCTCGCATCCCGATCTTACTTCATCCTTCTTTGGTTCAGCTGCAAACAAGTACACGATGTTTTAAGTCCTAGTAAGACGACATAGTTTATACACTCTACTAGTAGCAATATGATTATATATACTTAATAGTTGCCTCTCCCACTATACCTTAGCACGCCGCGATGATCGACCATAGTTGGACCCATGTACACATCTTGGACAGCCACATACGCAGGCGCCTAGGAACCCAATTGATTCTGGAGGCCTATAGGGCTATATTCAGAAATCTAGGCATCTGCCTTACCTTATGCCACTCTCTTTCCCCGATTCCAGAGCCACTAGTGGCCATTGGGTGAGAAGGAAGAGGGACAGCAGAAGTGAGCTCGTAGGAATGTTCATTAGGATCTCTCTCGTACTAGTATTAATCAAGGGAGAAGTATCCCCTCCGTCACTGATTTTCCTTGCCCCACAATGACTCTTCACCTGCTATCGTTTTTATCGTTTCTCTTTGGGTCGTGGTAAGAGATTTAAAGAATCAGAAGTATCTCTGTGCTATCTCTTCTCCGCCCGTAGAGAGTCTTCTTCTTTTCTAGAGTCACGCGCTTTCGTAACCACTCAATGCCTAAGGGGGAAGGCGTTTACTTTCAACCCAACTGAATTGAAACTCACCTAGGTGATATCTCCATTAGATTGGAGTTTCTATTATGTCATGACATCTCATTCGAGTTCATGCACTAGCCGTGCGAGGCTCAGTGGACAGATCCATTTGCCGTCCAGAGAAGCACCTGTCCGTTTAGTGATCGCTATCAGTACTCACATGACAGTGATTGTCCACTAAAGTATGAGGTCGAGTATGAATATGCTGTACCCTTTCTTGATCTTTAGTAGGAAGCTCGCCGCGCTCGTCTGAAGCGGGAGAGGAACCAAAAGGCAGAGGAGGTCAGAACTGGGCGCTACTAGACCATTGGGCATATAAGGTGGAGTGCCATCTCCGCCAGCTTCAGAACAGGAAGTCGATACAGAGGACGCAGGGTAGAGCACTGGGTGCAGCATCTCGTTAGCGTGAGGATTGAAGCTGGTATGTATGCTTTGACGGCTATAGTAGTATGGATAATTGTCTTCGCGATCGTAATAACAACTCTCTACCAACATTAATTTATACATTCTGTACAAAACGTACCCAGCATTTCTGAACTCTTACTCGTTTACGCAGTTTTGGCAAATCTCTACCCAGTAGGTCACACCTGCCTATTTCTCCACCCAGTTGGTCGCACCTGCCTATTTCTCTACCCAGTAGGTCTAAGCTCTACCAATCTCTACCCAGTCTTGGCAAATTCCTACCCATCTCCATACCTGTTTCTCTTTCCGTTCTAGGAAGCAACCCAGTCTCGGCAAACCTCACCCCAGTCTCGGCAAGTCCGGGTCAAGTTACAGCTCGCGGTGGGTGATCCAGAGCTTTGGCAAGGCTTCTACCCAGCGTCGACAAATCTCTACCCACCGCGAGCCATAAGCCCACTGGCAAGTCTCTACACGTACATGTTCTCATTCTCTATTCTCTGGGCTCTAGTGGCATCCGCATATCACGGCTTCATAGACGTGATACCATATCTTTGGTATGTATGCGATTCATATCGCCTCTACTCCGTCTGCTCCGCATCACTTTACTCCGTAACCCTCTCCTTCTCCCCTGTATCACTCTCCCCTTCCACCAAACTCTCCTTCATCCTGCTGGCTCTCCTTCTCGCATCGACATACATCATGAATTCAGTATAACTTCTTGGCAAAACATGGATATCCTTCTCCACCGTAAAGGTATAATTGAACTGCCCTGTCGGTCTCGCAACGCCGTGCTCGACATCCCTGACCTTCGTATCCACCCTCACCTGCACTCGTGTGTATTTCTTTCCATCCGGTCGCGACGTCTTTTCCATGGTGTCTTCGCCATCAGACCCATTGACAAGCGGCGGATCTGTGTATACGACTGTCGCGGTCTGGTACAGTACACTGCCCACTGGCACCGGGTTTTGGAATGTGCTTGGGTCGAGGGAGACGAAGGTCGGTCTTGCGTGTGCGAAGGATGCCGCAGCGCAGAATGCCAGCTCGAAAGTCTGCTTGAGTAGGAAGCCGCCAAAGATCATGAAGTGGTGACGGTTACGGTACTGTGGCTGCATGATTGCTGCAGACGACAGGCAGGTGGCCTCCATGAAGTGCACGTTCGAGGGTTTCCGCATGGGGTCGTTCGGGTCGTGATATCTAAGTTGGCGCTGCCACATGGCGTGGATTAGGTCGGATTCTTCGTCGTTAGGAGTTTCTTTGAGAAGGGAGCGAGACTTGAGATCTTTGCGGTGTTGGCTGTTTTTCTCGCCTTGAGCAAATAGTGCCTTTTCTTCCTCCGTTTCGGGTACGATTGGAGCAATGCTGACTGGCCTAGGATTGGGTGGTGAGCAAGGAGCAGCTTTACGGAAGATGGCTGTAGACTTACTTCTTCGTCCCCGGGTCCAACGAGACCATCGTGAACTGACAGGTCAGAAGTACATCCTCCGGTTTGACCTTCTCATCCTCTTTCGGCGCCTTTGCAACCTGCAATGACACCTCCATGCTGCTCCTTCCCGTAGCATAGGTCACCTTTCCGCTGTACTCCAGATCGCAGATCTCTTTCAATGGACGATTGATCATAATCCTATCACAAGCTGCTGTTACTGTGGTGACTCCGTCGCCCGTGTGTTTGTATGCCACCACTCCTGATAAGGCGTCGAGGTCCATGAAGATAGTGCCAAGTCGAATGTGTCCTGAGGAGTTGAGGTAGGTGTCTAATAGCCATGGGTCTTTGCCCAGCGGAAGGATCTAGTGCTGCATCAGTCAGTCGTATAATTGAGAGTCCTCGGTCGGAAACACGCACCACGCTGTGGTAACTATCTGACATCTTCTTGGGGGAAAGATCACGGTCTTTTGGTGTCTCTGGCTTCCCAGAAGCCTGAGTCGGATCATGACCTTCCCTTTGCTTGTTTCTTAATGCTTCTATCCATGGTGTCTGTACTCGATTCTCTGTCAAGGCGCGAAAGACACCATCGGTTTGCAGGCGGGTGCTGGTGGAGAGCTCTCTAGCTTGCGGGAGCTTCTGATGGAGATTGGAGCGATTGCTTGGGATTGGGAGGCCCTTCGTGCGCAAATGGCGGAGTAATTGGGCAGAATGCTTGGGAGCCATTGCCCTATCTTTCCAATTGGAGTATCGCAATTAATTATAGTGCGAACAAGTATACAGTAGGCAGAGAGGAGCAATGTCCGTAGATAAACATGGGACTTGGCGTATGATGTAGCCGGCCCCTCCACGGCCCTGGACCCTTCCTCCACTCTTTGAGGCCCCGACACTACCCGAAGGCCGTTGTTCCTTCCACTTATGGAAAACCACAAAGAGCGCGCAAAACCCTTCAAAAGTCCAACATTGAGTAAGCATGTGTGCTAATAGCTCTGATAACTCGACATACCGGAGAAGGTTTATTCGGCCCTTCGTAGGTGATACTGACATATGAGTGTCTCCACCGTGAAGCATTCTCTGGATCTTGGACATTTACAACTCTGCTATAGAAACGCCGGGCTCTCAGTGCGCGTCTCGAATACTGCTACAATATCATGCTTGAAGGATGTCTCTGCCAGTATACCAGACCCATCCAGCATAGATGAGCTGATTCATGGTCTCGCATGGGCTTCCAAAGGAAGCACCTTTCGCCTAATTCTTGAGATCACATGGGACAAAGAGGTGTATATTTCACCACCTCGGAATACATTGGTAGAATACGTTGCCGCAGCCTTGCGAGATGCTGATGTAGGCCATGTCAGATAAAGTCCGATGTCGTGCTACTGACACTATTGCGCTCAGCTCTGGCGACAGCTGGACCTCACCCCCTCACTCACTATTGAAGCTATCAGAGAAGAAACCGCCCTGGAGAGACTCATCCTTTATCTATCGTATGACCATCAACCTGGTAACACTGCGAGAAAGCCACCACACCGACTTGCAGAAGGCGTGCCCTGCAGCGATGTCAGGCCGCCCACTGGTATTCTGGATGTAACCCTCGAAGAAGTCGAATTCTACTTGCATGTGACTAGTATCGACTGTGCTAGAGGGCGTCGGAGAAGACACTCACTCTGCGAGAACCAACAGGAAGCTCTCAGTCGTATCGATCAGCATGACGAACTTCTACTGAATGAAGCCGAAAGAGAGCCGATAGAGGAGTGGGACGAATACGTTTGCTCCTCCGACGAAGATCTCTTTGAAGAAAATCATGACGGGGACTTTACAGAACTGCAATACCCTGAGAATGATGATCTGGACATGTTTGCAGCAGATCTTCCGGATGCAGAAGTCTCACAACATGCGTCCAGCCTCACCTCCGGAGACGGTGCCATGGCTTTTAATACGGACGCCGGTATCCCGAACCTAAACCATCCTCCAGGACGCCCTGTGATCAACGAACCAACTCTTCTCGCATTAGTAGATGCAGCCATCCGACATTCAGTGACACCAGCGCCTCGTCGAATTCCCGCAGGGATCTCCGTGACCGAAGTAGCGGATTTCAAGCGATTGGCAGACCTAGCTTCAGCAATCTTTAGTCCCAAACACTTACCTGTGACGTCACATCTACTTGCATCTGCACAGTTGTTCCGTGCTGACTCCGCACATGACAGGCAATCGCAACGCGTCAGGTCTTTCTGCCAACCATCAGTCATGCTTTGGCGCATTCGGTGCTTGCCAAAGCACAGTCAGATTGCTTGAGATCCAAGGTTCGTGAGATTACACGACAGGAAGGAGGTAAAGGGACGC